GTATATATATCTATATCTATATATATCTATATCTATCTATATATATAGATATAGATAGATATAGATAGATATCTTTTTTTTTTCTTTTCTTTTTTTAATGGGTATTAAAAAAAATGTAAAAAAGAAAAGAACCAGAAAGGACATTTTAATAAAAAATAAAAAAATGAAAGTTGCTTATATTTCATTTTGATTTATTTACCGTTACTTATCGTTATTTTGCTTTCCCTTTATATCAGTGTGCTCCTTTAAATAGATACATTTGTAATTACATCTGAAGTAGACTTTTTAGTCTGGCTCACCGCTTCACATGTTGCTTTTCAGCCTCGCATCAGCAGAATCTATTTACAATCTATATTTCTTATCACTGTTTGCGTTTCTCTCCTAGCTTTGAAGATGGCGAGCTTAAGATTGTCGCATGGAACGAGCAGAAGCACCGTGACAGAGACTGGTGCGAGGAACCCCAGTGCAAGTAAGTCCAGCCTAAACAATAATTGAAAGGCGCACATCAGCTGCACACTCATCCATATTTAAATGACTGTTTTTATGTTTTCCACTCAATATGTTAATACATTTTAATAGAACAGGTGAGCCACATCAAAGAAAGCTCCGGGACATTAGCGGACTTTAAAAATAAAAAAAAATAATAAGAGACCGTTTTTGTTAAATCCCCATCCCGTCCGCCGTCATCCTTTGTTACTTTTACAGGACTAAATTGCTTTCCATTCTTCAGCACACCAAACTTGACTCTGGATTGAATAAATAGAAGATCACACAGCTTCGGGGGAACGACTACAAAACACTTTTATTAAAAGGCATTCAATCACTTTCAAATCATGGCTGCGGAATGGTCTGTCCAAATAAAGGCCACCTGATGAAGAGTGTACGAGGGGAGACGACGGCTGCTGCTGCCCGTGTTCTGCGGCGCACATGGTTGATAACATCATGAGAAGTTCTTGACGGGTGAAGGTCAAGTGACTCCACCTCCTGCCACAACTGATATAGGCTGTAGTACCTTTTGTGAGGGTGGACATGCCGTGTGCTCGATGTGTTCACTTTCACCGAGCCATTTTCTCCATCTGTTTAAAATATATTGTTTTATTGCGCCAATTTGTTTCCCTGGAACTAAACTTCATGGATATCCTAAGGAACAGTAGTCACCTGATGTCTATTACTTCTTGCTGTTATTTGGTCAATGAACGGCTTTCCACAAAACTGCTATTTGGTTGCTGACGAGATACAGAATTCCCAGGATTGTTCAATGGCCACAGTTGTGGCAATGTCACAAGACTGACCTTGTTAAGGTAGATCTACCCAATCTCATAGAAGTTTTAGCACTGTTACAAAGTATGCAGTGGCAACTTATGGCCACTTGTAGGGATGCACTGATACTAGTATCTGTGCCGATGACGAGTATTTAGGTGAGTACTCGTACTCGCCCAAATGCTCCGATGCCTAGCCCGGTACTTCGGTATCAGGAAGCCGGGCAGCGAGTCATTACATGTAGAATACATCTGAAGAATACACACATATATAAGAAGCAATACAAAAAATATATACACAAGGTTATACACATTAATTCAGTTTCCACCTAGAAAGACAAGGCCACTCTTATGCAAAGACTTGCTCTTCGGAGATAGCACACATCTGCTGCTTCCATTGCACAGCTTGGAAGGAGCTGAGGGCTTTGTGCCCTCCTAATGATCAGCATAAATATTCAAACTGAAGATTTTCCACTTGTGCCGTATCTTTCAGTGGATGCCTGCCACTTGGCTCATGCCGTGCCCCGTATTCTCTATAGAAACAGAGAGTTCAGTGGTTGATTAAAGCTAATAATAAAGAAAATCCTCCTGGCTTTCTTTCTCTGGCACGTGTAATGTAGCCAGAAAATATGCAAGTGCTGCTGTTTTGTTATTCAAAATAGTACTTTGCTTCTACTTATACTGACATGCGGTTTCCCATTATGGATTTTATTTACTGTCATTCTGCCATTTTAATTTTTTTGTTAACATTATGTCAGCAGAGCAAACAGGGACTTAAATGCCATTCACAGAACGGCTTCTTCAAAATCAGGCATGCTAGGTATTATGGAGAATTGGCAGAGGCTTTGTGGGGGTGACAAAGGGGAATGGGGCAGTGCTAAGGTAAGTATAGACAATGGAGGGACAGGGTGTAGGGGGGTAATTTGGGATTTTGACTGTTGTGACAAGTTTACTTGAAAGGAAGCCTGCGTCCTGAAGCCTTTAAGTAGAAGTGTAGCTATTTTCTTTCTTTTCTTTATGTTTTGGATAGTGAGGGTTATAACCCCGGTCAGCTTTATGTTTGCCTCAATGTTTAGGAATAGAGGACACCAAACTAAAAGGTGAAAGAGTCCAAAAGTGCTTTTATTTATTCACAATTCGATTAAACAGAAAGCAGCCAATGCATTTTGGAGGGCAACAGCACTCCCCCTTCATCAGGACGTAGAATAGGGTAAGAATTGATTGGATCCAAAAGATACTATAGCAAAATTATTCTCTATGAGCTGGAATTTATACAAACTGGAGCAGAAAAAGTCTGGAGCAGATTTGCACTGCAGCCAATCAGCGTTTCTCTTTCATTTTCAAAACTTACATAGGCAAACTAACGAGAGATGCTGATTGGTTGCCATGGGCAACTGCTCCAGATTCTGCTTGCTCCAGTTTTGATAAATCCCCCCATATATGATTTGATTAAAAAATCTACTTTAGGGCTGCTGACAATTACAATTCCAGCCCTAAAGGGGATCTTTTGATCAAATCACAGAGATTTTTTTCGAGCAAACAAATTCTAACAGTTAACTCTTATAAGTGTCATATACCCTGACAAATAACTTTTCTTACTTGCTGCTTTTTTTGCGTGTTAAATATACAATTGAAAGCAGTTTTATTGCTGAGGGACAATACCTGTTGATCCTGCCAGAAATCTAGCAAACTGACAGCTTCATTTGTTCTCTGACTGTGCTGCACTATTATTATTATTCAGCATTTTTATAGCTCCAATAGTTTGTGCAGCACTTCACAAAATGAAGAGAAAACAGTATAGTTATAATACAATTTCAATACAGGGAGCTTAGAAGGGCCCTGCTTGTGAGAGCTTACAATCTATTCAGAGGGGAATGTAATATTAAAGGTAATAATTGTATGGGATGAGTTAATAGAAAAAATAAAAGCACTGGCTTACATTGAGGTGGGATAGGCTTCCCTGAAGAGATGATTTTTCAAGGATTGCCTAAAGGTAGATAGAGTAGGAGATAAAGCGGACAGATTGGGGTAGGGAGTTCCATAGGTTGGCAGACACTGTGGAGAATTATCATTTAACATTGTTCCCAGGATAATAGAACACCTTGATATGGAAAAGAAGAGAATGGGAGGGATTCTGCCCATCTTTCCTAGGGTGACAGTAATGCTCCTCCATATATAAAATACGCTAAATGAGTGTTGTCACTCTAGGACAGCAAATGTGTTACTGGCAGAATCACTGGGTGAACATAATTGGGGGAAAAAGCCTGGAAAAATAGAATAAATGCAGACACCACATCTAAAGGCTGGTAAGCTGCAATTTATTGCATTCTTGTTCTTGGGTTATGATATGCTTAATTTAATATCAATGTAATATCTATCTATTTAATGTAATATTTTATATATTTTTTTGTATTGCTTCTTATATATGTGTGTATCAGTGAAAAAATCTTGCTAGGTTGGTCATTGATACCCTTGCCTTGTTTCATTGTGAGCAATAACTCCGCTATATTCTTCAGACATTTCTATTAAAAAAAAGTGATGTACAAATTCTTGTTTTTTTGTAAAAGGTAGCACTGGCCACAGAGAGTGGTATATTCTCCAGAAACATACCTGCTCTAAAAATCTATACTACATCCTGTAATCATTAATGGTTACATGGCCTTAAGGACTTGTCCGGCAGCCTCGCATTCCCTCCTCTGCACGGATATTATCGGAAGGTGCACATAGAATGAGAATTACCAGACACCTTGGCTTCCTACAAGGACAAAGAATTTATGGAAGTAGCATACAGGAGCAAGGCGCCTTATAATAGAACCTCAGTGCTACTTTTCTGCACTGAATATGTTATTTCCTTCTTTTCTATTCTAAAACAAGAAGATCCCAGGAGCTGTGAGAGCTTGAAGAACCCTCCACGTTACGTTACAGAGGACTTCTGAATATTGGGGGAATTTCATTTTTTCTTGAAAAATAATCTTTTAGGAAGTTTTATTTATAGTTACACTTTACTATTTTCATGGAAACCTTTGATTGTAGCGATAGTAACGGAATCGCTGAGGGTGCTTGGAAGACCAACCAGAATCATTTGTAACAAAGGAGCTGTTTCTCCTCTTTTTGAAGAACACACATTTTTGTTAAATAACCTTAAAAATGTAGTAGTTCGTAATAAGAAATATTCAGAAATACACACACTCTTGGAAATAAAATACCCATTCTTAAAGTGACACTAAACTCAGGAGTTACACCTTAAAAATACATTTGACTATCCTAACTGTTAACTAAAATGTATCTTATTTGTGTATCACTCGGCTGTAGATCCTCAAATCATCTCTGAATTGGTGCCGCCACTGTGCTTCCTTCTGGAGGGTGGCTGCTTTTGTTCCCCATGGTCCCAAAAGCCTGAAGCCTGTAAATTAAACATTTTCTCCACATCAAATTCAGTCAGACTCCAGGGTGTCAGACTGTAAACAGCTACCCCGTTCCCTGTCGCCCATTGTAACACAATCAGTAAACACTAGCTCTACCTTTGCACCAGGGATGTTCAGATACCAAGTACTGTACTCGGTACAAGTACAAGTTTCAGCTCCAAGACTAGACAAGAGAAAAAAATCAAAAGTTAAGAGGCAGCTGTCATTTTTAAGGATCATACGGAGCTCCTGGGATTTGTACATCCCCATTTTAATGCATTGTTTATTTTTTTTTTTTTACAGATACAAGTACTGATACATTTTTGTTTTTTGTCATGTGACAGTTTTTCTAAAACAGTATAGACTAATGATTTCAGGACAGTGGTGGAGCACCAGAGCCATGAGGATATGAAAAGGAAAGCTAACAACAAATGTAAGTTTCGGTTTTCATATACATCAACTGCATATGTCTGCTTCATGTAGACTTGGTGTACATTGCTGTCATTTGTTTTTTAAAAATACCTCTGCAAAGGTGGAAATGGTAAATGTAAATTCTTCTAGGTCAGGCACTGATAGAAATCACTATGTGCGCTCTATAAAATGCTGAGGAATTTAACAACAATAGATTCATGATTAAAAATAATATTTGAATGTATATTCTGTTTTGTTTTTTTTCCCTTCTCAGGTTAATGGTGGAACCCAGTTTACCAGACTTGGCTGAATTTCTATATGAGGAACAGCCTGAATTACTGGTGCACAGAACAGACAACTTATCAATTGATACAGTGACAAAATGGTACTGGAATCGATCAGAGGAGATTGAAAATTATGCCAGACAGGTAAGCACAATGTCGTATGTGTTTTATAAATACACTGGCTGGCCAGAAAAATCACACACTCTATTTCATTGGACCACTTTAGCTTTGATTACAACGCACATTCGCTGTGGCATCATTTCCATAAGCTTATGCAATGTCACAACATTTATTTCCATCCAGAGTTGCATTCATTTTTTACCAAGATCTTGTAGTGATGATGGGAAAGTTGGAACGCTGTGTAAAGTATTCTCCAGCACATCCCAAAGGTTCTCAATGGAGTTAATGTCTGGACTCTGTGGTGGCCAATCCATGTGTGACAATGAGGACTCATGCTTCCTGAAGCACTCTTTCACAATTTGAGTCCGATGAATCCTGGCATTGCCATCTTGGAATATGCCCAATGTGCCATCAGGGAAGAAACAATCCATTGATGGAAAAACTTGTACATTCAGTATATTTAGGTAGGTAGCTGACCTCATTTTTGGGGGATGTAGCATTGCTGAACCAAGACCAGACCAACTGAAGCAACCCCTATAGCTCAAACCTATTTGCTTAGATCAATCCAGGTGGTGACTTTTTTTTTTGGCTAGGCAGGGTTTATGCTCTGTGTCCGTGTAACTTCCCAACTTTCTGACTGTTCCTGAAACATTCTATTTATATAGTACTGCCAATTACACAGCATCATGTCGTATCATGGTAGGTCACCTGCACTCCATGCAGTGTTCGGGCCTGTGTCTTAAAGAATCTTGGTGCTCGTCATGATAACATGGATGGTGCAGTGGTTCCCAGAATCGTGGAAAAGGAAGATCACCAGCACTCATAGAAGTGTTGATTACTGGTGATCCTTCTTTTCTGCCCTCAAAATGGTCCCCATCTCACCTGCTTCCTTGCTGCACACACACACACACACACACACACACACACACACACACACATACATACTAGGGGCAATTTAGACAGGAGACAATTAACCTACCAACATGTCTTCAGAGTGTGGGAGGAAACAGGAGTACCTGGAGGAAACCCATGACAGCAGAGAACATGCAAACTCCTTCTGTCTCATGTTATTAGCTATGTGATCATCAAGTATAGCCATTTGTATACACCTAACAAATTACACTTTACATAGGCCATTCACAAAATAGTAATGGACCCTTCATTGCTATATCTCCTCCTGTTGGAGAACAGTGAACACCCCCCATCGCTGTATTATCCCCTGATTGGAGAACATTAAACACAGTACCATTAAACACTGTACCTTTTCCTGCTTAGAGAACAGTGAACCCCCCATTGCTGTATCCTCTCATATTTAGAGAACAGGAACTCCTCCCACCCAACTTTACTGTATATTCATTCAGGTAGAGAACAGTGGACTGTGGGATGGGGGATTGCTGTATCTTCTCCCAGTTAGAGAACAGTGGACCCCCCATTGCTGTATCTTCTTCCAGTTAGAGAACAGTGGACCCCCCCAATGCTGTATCTTCGTCCAATTAGAGAACAGTGGACTCCCCCATAACTGTATCTTCTCCCCTTCTTCACCTCTTACCTGCAATGTCATTGCCGCTCCTGCTTCAATTATTTATTTCTATTTTACATTTGGCAGATTAGTTTTTATTTCGCTGTCGTGGAGGGTTGTGTGAATGTGTTCTTTTGGAATGGGTAAAATGTTGGCAGGCACTGCATATGCATAATTTATATTCTCCGTATTAGAATATAATTACACTTACTGTCTGCACTTAATCTGCAGCACTCAATTCTTTTTCTAATACGCCTGTCTTATTCTTTGTAGAGGACCCTGAGGCTTTATTTATTTATTTTACTCTTTTATACGGTGCCAGCATACTCTACAGCATTGTACATAGAATATTAAACCCTTGTGTCTCCAGAGGAGCTTGCAATCTAGTGGTCCTGCCATACAGACCACATACGCTACACTGTGGCCAGTTTAATTGTAAGCTAATTCAATGCAACCATCTATTTTACTGAGCACATTTTTGCCTTTTTCTCATGGGCGGCAATCTCTACTGTCGCTCTGAAAAGCGATTTACAGTAGATGGCTTTCAGAGGGTGGCGGGGCAGGGTTTTTGGTGGCATACCGGAGACAATACTGCCACCTCCTGAATGCCGGTTTCTTTTTTTTAAATGTATTTTACATTGAAAACTGTGCCGCAACCTCAATTGTGGCAAGGTCCGATTGACTTCAGCTGGTGAGTTTGACAGCCGGTGCCGAGCGTCTATGGCTTTGAAAGGATAGAGTCGATCAGCCAATTACAATAACTTTCTACCAGAAAAGCTGATGCCAAAGATGTCCAGTAAACTCTTTTTTGTTCATAGACATAGGCATGCAAATGTTCATTGGGAGCTTTTATTTGGCGACTGAATTCCGCATGCAGTCAGCTGATAATGAGTGTCCCCAGATAGCACAAGGACACAATTCATGGGGTTGATTTACTAAAGTCAAATAGACTGTTCAATTTGCTAGGGAATTTCTCCTTAGCTTAGTGAATGAGTGAAGCTCTGCTAACTTCCATCCATCATCCAATTATCATTTTTTGTTATTGTTCTTGCGCATTATTGGGTATTCTTTGCACAGTGAATTTTCCCCACATTCACTAAGCTAGGGAAAATTTCCTTGCATAGTTACCTTTATTAAATCAGCCCCATTTTGTAGCACTGTATGGGGGGGGAAATAGGCAATAGCCCAACAGTTTGTGTTTCTGGATTGATGGAGGAAATGTTTGCCCTCACTGGAATCACATGCCAATATGGGGGAACATAACATTACAATATGGGGTGACTCAATGCTCCCTCGCCTCAAAGCTGGGCCTTTTTTTTTTTATAAGCAAACATCCAACACTTTGTGTTATTTTAGTAGCTTGCTCATTTCCTCCTGCCCCCACTTATTTCTACAAGTCCATTGCTAGTATGATCAGTAGGAATGTGTGGAAGGCAGGAGGGATAGACACACTACCTAAAAGTCTT